CTAATCCAACAGAATGAAGGCTAAGTCCCACCTTTATGCACAAGAGTGTGCTGCCAGGAGAGGGGTGTGCGGCCGCACACCCAAGTGTGCGGCCGTACACTCCTTAAGTTGGAGTGTAAGGCTCGATTTTTGGTGCTAGAAGTATACGCGATCCATTCCTATACCCAATGCTTGAATGTACTGAGCTTTGAACCTTTAAACGGACTCCAAACGAGGCTAAACGATAGCAGAAATGATTCTGACACTCAGTTGAGTTGACTGACTGGGCTTTACAAGGCAAAAATTTTAAAAATTTTCGGGTTGTCACATAAAACACCTACGATGAAGTATGATGAGAAACGTTGAAATATACAGTGCTTATACTAACGAACCTTATGTTCAAATCGATCGGCGACGGTGGATTCAAATTGATCGGCGACGAGAGATTCAAATCGATCGGCGATGCAGTTGATTTTTAGGGAAAACGACGTAAAAGATCTAAGTTCAGGGGAAACGATTTCTGAGCGGAAGCACAAAAAAAGGTCGTCACTGGCAGTCGTCAATCTACAGCTGCAATCGATGATCAACACGAATGGTGTCGATCTCTTGGTTGGTGGATTCGGTGTCGATGATCTGAAGATTAAGAACATCAGATTGGTAGTCGTCGTTGATGGAGGCGATCGATACATATGTAAGAGAAATTAAGGATCTAGAGAGAGAACGAGAGATATGGAGAGAAAGTAAATTAGGAAATTTCTATAAACTGGTAATTTAAATTATATTAATATTTTGGAATGAATTTAATTTATACCAGATTTACCCCCAAGGTGTATTGAGAAAAACCTAAATTGCCAATAAATTAAGTTATAATTATAAATATGCCACTTTTAATCTAAGCCATTAAAATTTTTGATCTAATGTTCCAACTTTAGTTCTCGGGTTCTCGGGAAACTATGAGTTCTCAAATGATCCTCTCTCTCTCTCTCTAACTCTCTCTCTCTCTCTCTCTATATATATATATATATATAAAAGATAATTATGTTACCAACAACAATTCCTAACATGTCGTGACCAATTTAAATGGTTATAAATATTGTTTTAAGGAAGTTTAATCGAATATATTAATATTACACACATTATGATGGACTATCTCAATAAAAATGGAAATTGATTTATCGGAATAATTATCTTTTCGTTTTATTCATATTTAAGTACTATTTTTTTGTATACATATAGATAACAAACTTGTTAAAAGTGTTGACATATAACCATTATGTGGTTATAACTGAATGTAACCTGCTACAGCCAGCTTTGAAAGTTCTTTGTATGAATGTGTATCAGAAAAATTAATTATTTTAAGAACTCAATTTCCTTTTTCCAATGTACTAAAGTTATTTTCGTACTTTTTACGCCATACACCAAAGAGTTTCGAGGGAAACGTTATCCTAAAAACAACCGATACAAAATTCCACAATGTGAGTATGGCATTGGCTACAGTGCTTCAATTCTCATTTGCTCCTGTAGCTGGACCACCCACCAGACGACGGCAGCAAATCCGCTCCTCAGCCGACCGGCAGGCTCTCTTCAGCCGCATCGCACCTGTCTACGATAACGTACGCCAAAAAAGTTTCATCTTTCTCACTCCAATTTTAAAATTTTATCTCCCAACCTAATTTCTTACATATGCGATTACATTTTCGCAGTTGAATGACGTGTTGAGTTTGGGGCAACATCGGATATGGAAACGAATGGCAGTTAATTGGAGTGGGTAACCATTAAATCCCTCAACTTCTCTTTCGATTTTTCGATTTACCCACATTCTGTTCCAGTATTAGAAAAAATTTCGCTATAAATATTGATTTGAAATGATAGGGCAAAAGAAGGGAATAATGTGTTGGATTTGTGTTGTGGAAGTGGGGATTTGGCATTTCTTTTGTCTCAAAAGGTTGGACTCAATGGCCAGGTTGGTTTTTCACTCTTTTCCCTTCTTCTCTCTTGCATTCACTCATCATTTGGTTACATCTTTTGTTCGCTTTTATACACCTCAATCTTGTACCCTAAATATTAAATTAATCTATTTTTTTGCAAAAAAAGCTGTTATAAGAAAACTAATGACCATTATATCTTCATTTATTCCCACAATTTATAGGTTACTGGCCTTGATTTCTCAAGAGAACAACTAATTGTTGCTTCAAAGAGACAAGAATTACGTGCAAAAGCCTGCTATTGTAATCTTAAGTGAGCATTGGTATATCTAGTTCTCGTTTGTGTGTATTGGTAAATGGTAATAGAGAAGAAAAAAAATTGGTTTCAGGGCTAATTTGGTAATTATGTTTATGTCTTATAGGTGGGTGGAAGGCGATGCAGTTGATTTGCCATATCCTGATTGTTATTTTGATGCAATTACTATTGGATATGGGCTACGAAATGTAGTTGATAAATATAAGGCAATGAAGGAGGTTTATCGAGTTTTAAAACCAGGTTCTAAAGCATCAATACTTGACTTCAATAAAAGCACCGATGAATTTAGAACATCTATTCAGGTTTGTTTAACAAATGTGGAACTACTTTCAATAAATAAACCTGTAGATAAAAACAATTTAATCCATTTTATTAATAAATTTTGGATCTTTGTGACAGGGATGGATGATAGACAATATAGTTGTGCCTGTAGCAGCTGGATATGGTCTTACAGTGGAGTATCGATATCTAAAGAGCTCAATTCAAGAATTTTTAACAGGTTTGTTTCTTATTGTTGTATTGTGAAAACACGTGCATATTCTTTTTCTATATAGATGGGACCCACAAAAGCAAAATATTACTTTCAGTGTTTTTTTCTTTTAAGGCATTGTAACTTAAAAAACCTAACCAATTATGGCATTGTACTTTGATTATTTTTATTAGGCTATTGTACTTTGAAAAATCTTAAGATGACATTGTTATAATTGGGTAGATTTCTTGAAATCTAGTTATGTAATAAGAATAAATGGAATTAGGGTGCTATAATATAATAATAATAATAAACAAATATATGAAAGTATGTAGCTATTTGTTGTATTTAACTTATTAGTTTTATTATTATTTTTTTTTTATAATTTGCAAATTCTTTTACAAACAGGTGAGGAATTGGAGCATCTCGCATTGGAATCAGGGTTTTCAAGTGCTAAACATTATGAAATTAGTGGAGGACTCATGGGCAACTTGGTTGCTACACGATAAAGCAAGCTCATAAATGTTGCTAATTATTCGTTTTCATCACAAGAGATTTGTAATAAAAAGACTTAATTTGCTATTAAAACTCTCACATACATGCATTTTGCTTCATTTATTGGAAATTATGTTCATTAGGAAAACCTACTTTTCCATTTTATAATTATACACAACATTATAACCTAACAATAAAATAAACAACTTACCTAACTAAAATACATAAAATCCGGAAATAATCCTATAAACAAATCTGCCCTCTCTTCATAATATCAAAATGTTGAGACTAGGGACCGTAGTAGTGATTTCATACTGACCCACACTGACATCTTGACATATGACAGAACATGTTGTACTGTGTTTGTCTTGCTTTAAACTGATGTCAATGGGACATATGTGTTACATTTTTTTCATACCCAAAAAGGTGGGGCGTGAGTACATGACTCGTTCTTGATATTTTGTCTACACAAATGACATAAATGACCTCATTATCAAAAATAGATCATCCTTACCTCGGATAGAACTCACTATGAGAAACTGTAGCAACCGAATAAGAGCTTTCTCCCTCATGATCATGAAGCAACTTTTGTGTAATGTTGTTGAGTTCCATGGTTTTTTCGTCTGCGAAAGGAGGATTAGAAGGGAGGGGTAAATGTTCATCATCTTTTGCCAACATTTTAAGTATAGTTGACATTGTTGGCCTTAAAGATGGAGCTTCTTGGGTGCAAAGAAGTCCTACATGTACCACTTTTATAGCGACTTTCTTGAAAATGGTGTTTGGGTGAACATCCATCGAGAGGTTCGGGTCAAAGATTTGCTCCACTGTACCTTTCTGGAAGAGCTCCCATGCCTATTCATCCACAAATTATGTAATTTTTCTATTAGTCGGGAATCAATTTTGTAACTTTATGAAACATATGGATCATGTATGACAATTCGTTATTAAATAGGGATCGTTTCTATAATTTTGTGAAACATAGGGACATTTTCTATAATTTTGTGAAATACAATGACCATTTCAATACTTTTGTAAAATGCAGGGGATATTTTTAAATTTTTAAGAAACGAAGGGATCATCTTTGTAACTTTGCTATCAGACGACAAGGTCCATTTTCTATAGTTTAGTTAAATGTAGGGACCACTTCTGTAACTTTCATATCGATATAGAGACCACTTCTGTAAATTATGGGGACCATTTTTGTCAATTTTAGAGACCATTTCTATAAAACTAATTTCAAAAGTAGATATTGCTTATGTAGATATCCCGATAGGACCATTTCTGTAATTTTCCTATCAACACAGGGACCAATTCTGTAAATTATGGGGACCAATTCTATAATAACATTTTATATTTTTTTTATATTACTTTGATACAGTTTTATGATAAAAAAAAATAATAAATAAAATTTATGTATCAGATGAAGATTTTTTACTTACGGTAGAGACTAGATTGTCTGTATATTCTAGTGCATTGCTTTTGTTGTTTTCCATTCCTGTGATTATTTCCAGAAGTAAAATACCAAAGCTATAGACGTCTACCTTTTCTGTTAACTGACCATAGGCTAGATACTCCGGAGCCATATATCCACTGGTGAAAAGGAAATAAAAATTAAAAATGAATATATTAATTTAGTACTTGTTTATATCTAAAGTAACCTAAAAGAGAAAATGTTCCTTTTTTATTTAATCGAACAATACTTAATCCGGTAAGAAGTATATGGATGTTTATTTTTTAATTGATACAGAAAAAATGACTTACAGTGTTCCTGCTATGGCCGTACTGATGTGACTTTTATCATCTTGAAAAGATCTGGCCAATCCAAAATCAGCTATTTTAGCACGAAGTCTCACGTCTAACAAGATGTTAGAAGCTTTGATATCCCTGTGAATAATTCGGGTCTTGGTATTCTCATGAAGGTACACCAGGCCTTCTGCTGTGCCAATAATGATTTGAAACCTCTTCTCCCAGTTTAGTTTCTTTCCTTTTATTGCATCTGTAGAAATGTTCACATATTCGTAAATACATCTTGAATTCTAGATACTGGAAATTTAAGAACATACCAAAAATAAAGAGGTCGAGGCTCATGTTGGGAACATATTCGTATATAAGAATGCTTTCGGGTCCTGAACAACTGCATCCTAAAAGCCTGACAAGGTTTTTATGTTCAACACTACTAATTATGTTTACTTCGTTGTAGAAATCAGCTGCCCTGAGTTTGTTGTTGACATAGAGCCTCTTCACAGCTATTTCTCGTCCATCTGAAAGTACTCCCTGAGTGAAATTTTCACTGCCAATATTAGTTTTATAAAGGGTCTATGATAAACTAAAACATTCGGTCCTTATTTGTTATGAAGGACAAGTCAGTATCAGTCTGAGTATAGTCCAATGCATGCCAAAATCAGTACCTTGTAGACGGTTCCAAATCCTCCTTGTCCAAGCTTCTTGGACTCATCCCAATTTGTTGTGGCTTTCTCAATAGTGGAGTATTTGAAGTTTAAGCTACTATCAGTAAGAATCTTTGCCAATTTCTCGGCATCATAAGAGCCTGAAGGAGTTATAAATTATTAGGGTTGTTTTAACAATCACCAACATGCTTTATAGTTGGCATTCAAGAACATATTTATATCATGTTGAATGAGTTGTACCTCTTCTCCTATGTTGTATATATCTGCGTCTTCTGATGTATAAAGCAATTGTCAAAGTAACAACCAAAACCACCACAGAACTAATAATGGAAATAATAATCGCTACCGTCTTCCCTGCAAAACATACAAATTAAAAGTGATCATAAATATGTTAGGATTCCACTTAAGCTTCATACATGCAAAACGCTCATTTTGAAGATTCCATATGTTGGTTATTATCATATTGATTTTAACATAGAGATATTTGTATTTGAAAAATGTATTTAGCTATTTGTGTATATATTAACATATCCTTTTTAGAGTCTATATGTAAGAAATAACAACTTATTCTCACTAACTTATTTATTCTAGCAACTTTTTTTATTTAATATTAAAACATTGTACTTTTCAGTTATTTTTATAATGAAATTTTACTTTAAAAAATCCAACCAATTATAGCTTTGTACTATGAAAATCTTCACAATTATAGCGGTGGAAATTGATTTGTATATGCATGTCATTTCTATAATTTGTAAATCTTTTTAAATCAAAATTTCGTAGTAAGAATAAAAATTTACAAAATATTGACTGAAAAATCTATCCAATTATAAAATTGTACTTTGAAACTTTTACACAATCATAACAGTGAAAATTGTATTGTATTTGGATGACACTGCTATACTTATTTAGAATTTTCAAAGTACAATGTTTCAGTAGAAATAAAAGAAAGTAACATTCTATAATTAACAAATATATGGAAGTACACTGTTATTTTTTGCAGCTAACGCAATCGTTTCTCTTAATAGATATTTGGTTGGTATACCAACCATCCATTAATGAGCATGATAACATTGCAGTCAAGAGATAATTCCATTGAGCCATTGACCACCTTTTATATATAAATCATAATTAAGTAATCGTATAAAAAAACAATTCAATACCATTCTTTTTACCTTTACTTTTCGAGCCACTTGTCAACGGTAGAGGATTTAGAAAATCCTTATTGGAATACCTCATAAAACACCCCGTATTCAACGCCCTACCCTCCGACCATGGCAAACATTTCGATATCACATCAGACGCATTCTCTAAACACTTCCTACAATCCCCTAGACTCAAAGTCGTCCAACATTTCGCCATCACATAAACCGACATATTACCGCGCGCCGCCGCCACCTCTCCTCTACCAAAATACTCATCATTACTCAATGCATCTGCTACCACATTCAACACTGCCTGTTTCGTCGAATTTTGAAACTCTACACTCTCCCCCGTTATATTCCCACAAACAATTGTGTCATAAGATCCCGTATACTCTTCATAAAAGCTATAATTTAGAAGGCGCATAAAACAACCGTCGAGATATATTCGAGCCCCATTACGTGGATAGCAACTTGGAAATACAGTACGAGTTTCCGCATAACATAACACACAATCTTGTGAAGAAAGATCGTCGTAGCATTGGAAGAGTACGTAATTTGTGTTGGGTCCCGTGCCCACTTCTACGGTTGCGTTGTGTGATGTTCGCATTTGGGTGCTGACTATTTCCATTGCTTGGACATAATTTTGGGACGAAGTACGTGTCATCCTCATGGATTTGTTCGTCACAAAACAACTTGATGACTTGTGTTCTCGCATCCCCATTTGAGCTTGACATAAGTAGTAAAAATGTGATTGAAGCAATTAGGAGTGATGTTTTGTACATCTTGTGTTGGATCTGAAGCACATAAATTTGTTAGTATTGATGAAACGTAAAGTATGTTGCTAATTTTTTTTTAAAACTTCGTACTTTTTTTTTTCTGGGGGGGTAAGGAAAACATGCAATAGTACATGGTTTTTCTTTATGTTTGTATGAATGTGTGAAGCTATTATTTAGAACAATAAATATATTACATAAAAAGGAAAAAAGAGAGACTGTAAATAAACATAAACTGAAACAACAAATAAATAATTTATAGCTTAGAACTTAATGTTTATAAAGCGCTTACCGATTTATATATATATATATATATATATATATATATATATATATATATATATATATATATATATATATATATTATATATATATATATTCCTACTTATGGCCTCCAAGTAAACACAGTGATGTACAGGTATATAACATATAAAAGGATGGATATTAGAATGCAAAATATAATAATAAAATATATATTAGAAATCAAAGAAGCAATTGTTATTTGATCTAAAGATACCATTCTTTTATGCCCTTAAGATTGTAGGATCGAGTTTTATTAGATACATGAAATAACAAAGTTTTTTTTTTTTTAGTTTAGAAGAAGAAGAAGAAAAAAGAACTTTTAGTTTGCCTAACTTTGTTCAAATTTAGTCATTAAATTTTTTTTCTTGATTGATTTACCTCTAAATTATTTGAAATTGTTTATAAGGGTAAAATGTGAACATTTTATATATTCATGGGTAAATCAAACACAAAAAAGTTTAGTGACTAAATATGAACTAGTTGAAAGTTTGTCACCTTTTCAAGTTATTATCCGTTTTTTTTAATAATCCCTTAGTTTATTTTGCTTATTGGCAGCAATTACTTAGATTAAAATTTGATTTCAATCAAAATAATCAATAGAGTTTCACGTATAATTGAAACGCCAACTCACAAAAAAGAAATAATCAGTAGAGTTTCACAAAGGCAAAAAGACACATATAAGAGCAATAAAACGTAAAATAGATAAAAAAAATCAAAAGGAGCATGGTGAGAAGGTACATATAAAACCAACATACAAAAAGAAAAGGTAGATACAAGTAATAACTAGGAAGAAAAATATCGACATAACAAGTTGAAAATAAAAACAGTGAAAACTAGGAAAAATGCACAAACAATGTAAAGACAACTAGCACCTAAACTACTCATGTACTACTACACAACCTCGATCTTATGCATCTACACTCTCTAATCAAAACTCGTATCTTTGTAAAGAGAAAAACCTCATTCAAATTTAACACTACATCATCTTCATGCTTATTTATCATATGTTCTATCGACCTCGCATGATATACAACTACCGTCTCCACCATTTGGAGTGAGAATCGTTGCTTATGTCCTAAGTTATTTCTAAAATCACAACAATCTTTGTTTCTTCAATTTTCTGTGTGATTAAAGTCGCTTCTGTTGTATTTCTAAGTGCCGTTTCTAGTACATTATACAATAAAGGTGTTGTGTTCCAGCCTCCAAAGCCTCCAAAGCTACAGTAGCCATCATTGTTGACAAAATGAAACCTACGGGACAAGTTTTTCTTCCCACCCTATGATGAACACAATTAATAGACGCAACTACAATGGTGGCTGCCAAGACTATAAATAGAGACTTCATTCTTCAGTTGTATACATCCCAAAAACACAGAGAAACAGATAGTATAACACTTAGAGTGAGAGTGTTAGTGAGAGGGTTGGTTTTTTGTAATAGTTGAGTGTGAGAGTTGCTCCTCCTATTGTAATTCTATTTTCGTGTTTAATAGAAGAGTTTTCCGACCCCAACAACTGGTATCAGAGCTTGGTTCGGTGTCCAGGGAATTCTTTACGAATTTCTCTGTTTTTTCGTCAAAATTTTTTGTCTCAAAATCCGTTTTTGAGTACACCGTTGGAAAGGGCTTGTTTCAAGGATTCCGAAAATATATTTTTCGTAATTTTTTGACCACCAGAAGGCCCTCAAATCGTTGGTCAAAGTTGGTCAAATCTCGCCGGAAAAGTCGCCGGAAAAACCAGGTGGCCGGAGAAGACTGCCGGGGAAGAAGGAGTGACGTCATCAGTGAGGTCATCATTGACCAGAATTTCAGGAAGTTGCAGTTTAGCCCCTGAAGTTCCAGAAGATTACAGAAAGGTCCCTCTGTTTCTGAAAAACTGTAGTTCGGTCCCTGTTCTTCTGAAAACATCTGTTTTGGTCCCTGGAGTTCTGAAAAGTTTCAGAAAAATCCCTGGTTGGCAGAAATATTTCAGATTGGCCCCTGTAAGTTCCGAAAATTACAGTTTAGCCCCTATAGTTCTGAAAAGTTACAAATTAGCACATAACTTTTCAAGAAAGTATATTTTGAGCCCGAAAAATTCTACCCCACCATTTTTGACGCTTCCGAATCCAACCGAGAGCTCGGTTTTATCTAATTTTTCCTCGAAATATTTGTAAAATAAATTTGCAATATTTTCGATGGAATCTACAAGTACGATTACGATGGTTCGACTTACGCCCACAAATTACAACATGTGGAAGCCAAGGATGGAAGATTTGCTTAATCTGAAAGATTTAGCAGAGCCTATAGAAAAGCAAGGCGTCAAACCCAACACGAAGACAGACGAAGTTTGGACGAGAATAAACAGGAAAACGGTGGCACAAATTCGACAGTGGATCGACCACAGTGTTTTTCATCATGTATCTCAAGAGACAGACGCGTACAAACTTTGGGAGAAGCTCGAGAATATGTATCAGGCAAAGACGGCACGCAACAAGACCTTGCTGATGAGGCACCTTGTAAACCACAAGTTACGAAGTGGTACGTCCATAACCGAGCATACGAGTCAGTTCCAGGATCTCGTAAACCAGCTCGGTGCTGCTGATTGGGTTCTCAAAGACGAGGAACAAGCCATATTGCTCTTGAGTTCTCTACCAGATAATTGGGAGACGCTTGTTGTGACTCTCAGCAATTCTGCCCCCGGTGGTAAAGTGACAATGGAGATGGTCACAGATGCCCTAATGAACGAGGAAGCCAGAAGGAAAGAAGCTGGTACAGACCAGTCTTTTGCCCTCGTGTCAGAAAACAAAGAAAGAGGCGGAGGCAGAACTGGAGGCCGAGGTCGAGGTAGAGGCAGAGGTAGACATGGTCAAAGTAGAGGAAGATCCCAAGATCGTGGGAAATCACGAGATCGAGGGAAATCGCGAGAGCGAGGTAAATCTTCAAATACATGGTTCGAAGGCTATTGCAATCATTGTAATTATTATGGCCACAAAAGGAGTGATTGCCGAAGGTTCTTACGAGAGCAGCCCGAGACAAGCCAGAATCCAAGCAGGGAGAATGGTGAAACCATGGTCACCATAACACAAGACGTTGCCCTTGTTACATACGAGGAGGAAGCATGCCTACATGTTGAAACTCATGATGATGAGTGGGTGATTGATAGCGCTGCATCATATCATTCGACTCCAAACCGGGATTTATTCAGTACTTATAAACCCGGAGACCATGGTACCGTGAAGATGGGAAACACCAGTTTCTCAAGCATTGCTGGTATTGGTGATGTGCATTTAAAGACCAATGTTGGATGTACATTGGTGTTGAAAAATGTTCGGCATGTCCCAGAGCTGAGAATGAATCTTATCTCAGTTGGAGCTCTTGACGTTCAAGGATATGATAATCAATTCAAAAATGGCACCTGGAAGTTGTTGAAAGGTGTTATGGTTGTTGCAAGGGGAAAACTTGATGGTACTCTTTATAAAAGTCATGCAAAGTTGCTTCAACCAAGTCTCAATGTTGTTAAAGAAGAGACATCACCAAACTTGTGGCATAGAAGACTAGGCCACATGAGCGAGAAGGGATTGACGACTCTTGCAAAGAAGGAGTCCATTTCAATGGCAAAAGATGTTGCCTTGGATCCTTGTAAATACTGCCTATTCGGGAAACAACACAGAGTTTCCTTTAGCTCCACAAGAAAGAACCGCTCTGAGTTGCTGAGCCTTGTCCACTCCGACGTATGTGGACCCATTGAAGTAGAATCTCTTGGTGGAAGCCGGTATTTTGTGACATTCATTGACGATGCGTCACGAAAGGTATGGGCATACTGTTTGAGAACGAAGGACCAAGTATTGGACCGCTTCAAAGCTTTTCATGCAATGGTGGAAAGACAAACAGGCAAGAAGCTAAAATGTCTCCGATCAGATAATGGAGGCGAATACTATTCCCGTGAGTTCTCTAAATACTGCACGGAACATGGTATCAGACATGAAAAGACTGTCCCACGAACCCCACAACACAATGGTGTAGCAGAACGGATGAATCGCACCATTGTTGAGAAAGTTCGATGCATGCTCAGCATGACTAAACTCCCAAAGCCATTCTGGGGTGAAGCTGTATTGACATCTTGCTATCTAATAAATAGGTCACCTTCCGCTCCATTGAATTTTGAAGTTCCGGAGAAGATATGGACGGGTAAAGACATATCATATTCTCACTTGAGAGTATTTGGGTGCAAGGCGTTTGCACATGTATCAAGTGAACTGCGGAAGAAGTTGGACCTCAAATCCACTCCATGCATCTTTATTGGATATGGAGATGAAGAGTTCGGGTACAGGCTATGGGATCCAGAACTAAAGAAGGTTATTCGAAGTAGAGATGTGGTTTTCTATGAAAACCAGTATTATGATTTCAAGGCACCGGTTAACAAGCAACAAAGCTCCAAAGTTTCAGATATAATATCTGAAAATAAAGAAGATCTTTCCGCTGAAGAAGTGGATGAAGAAGGCGATGATGCATATCAAGAAGGTGTTGAGCAGGGGGAGCTTCCACCCCTGGATAATTCAGATCCACTGCAGAAGTTGCAAACGAAGGAACTCAAGTTAGACGATCCGAACGAGTACGTGCTCCATCAACAAGATATCCGACTTCAAACTACATCCTTCTTACTAGTGAGGGGGAGCCAGAGAGTTTTCAAGAAGCTCAATCTCATATTGACAAAGCAAATTGGCAGAAGGCCATGGAAGAAGAAATGAATTCTTTGCAGAAGAATCAAACATATGAGTTGGTAAACCTCCCCAAAGGAAAGAAAGCCTTGAAAAAGAAGTGGGTTTTCAAGTTGAAGAAAGACGGCAAGGGAAATACTATGAAGTATAAGGCGAGACTCGTTGTCAAAGGTTTCCAACAAAAAGAAGGAATCGACTTTGATGAAATTTTTTCGCCAGTTGTAAAGATGATGTCTATTCGAGTTGTACTCGGATTAGTTGCCAGTCTAGATCTTGAACTTGAGCAGATGGATGTGAAAACAGCCTTTCTCCATGGTGATTTGGATGAAGAAATATACATGGAGCAACCTGATGACTTTAAAGTCCCAAAGAAAGAGCATCTCGTCTGTAAATTAAAGAAGAGCCTTTATGGTCTTAAGCAAGCCCCAAGGCAGTGGTACAAGAAGTTTGATTCATTTATGATGAATCATGAGTACAAGAGAACTGTTGCAGACCATTGTGTCTATCTGAAGAAGTTTCCAGATGGGAAATTTGTCATCCTTTTGCTCTACGTGGATGATATGTTGATAGTGGGCCAAGATGCAATGATGATCAACAACTTGAAGAAGGATTTGTCTAAGTTCTTTGATATGAAAGACTTAGGCCAAGCACAACAGATATTGGGCATGAAAATTATCCGTGATAGAAAATCAAGAAAATTGTTCTTATCACAGGAAGAGTATGTTGAACGTGTGATCAAAAGGTTCAACATGGAAAATGCCAAGCCCGTTGGTACGCCCTTGGCTAAGCACTTCAAGTTGAGTAAGAAAAATTGTCCATCTTCTGAGAAAGAAAAAGAAGAGATGAAGGCAGTCCCCTATTCCTCAGCCGTAGGAAGTCTTATGTATGCAATGGTGTGTACAAGACCAGATATTGCTCATGCTGTCGGTGTTGTGAGTAGATATCTAGCTAATCCGGGAAAACAACATTGGGAAGCAGTCAAATGGATACTTCGATACCTGAAGGGTAGTTCGAAACTATGTTTATGCTACGGGGGAGCAAAGCCAATCGTGGAAGGTTATACAGATGCCGATATGGCAGGAGATCTTGATAGTAGGAAATCTACATCAAGTTACATTTTTACTTTGGCAGGGGGAGCTATCTCGTGGCAATCCAAGTTACAGAAGTGTGTCGCACTGTCAACAACAGAAGCCGAGTATATTGCTGCCGTTGAAGCTGGGAAGGAGCTTATATGGATGAAACGGTTTCTTCAAGAATTAGGCTTTCCACAAGAAGAGTACATCATTCATTGCGATAGTCAGAGTGCTATGGACCTGAGTAAGAACTCGATGTACCATTCCTGTACAAAACATATTGATATACGTTATCACTGGCTTAGAGAAGCAATTGAGGGACGAGAATTGAAGTTGTTAAAGATCAACACCAATAACAATCCTGCAGACATGTTGACAAAGGTGGTGACACAAGAGAAACACAGACTATGTGCTGACATAGTTGGGATGAGGATTGTTGGACGGAGACTGGAGGGGGAGATTTGTTGTGTTCCAGCCTCCAAAGCCTCCAAAGCTACAGTAGCCATCATTGTTGACAAAATGAAACCTACGGGACAAGTTTTTCTTCCCACCCTATGATGAACACAATTAATAGACGCAACTACAATGGTGGCTGCCAAGACTATAAATAGAGACTTCATTCTTCAGTTGTATACATCCCAAAAACACAGAGAAACAGATAGTATAACACTTAGAGTGAGAATGTTAGTGAGAGGGTTGATTTTTGTAATAGTTGAGTGTGAGAGTTGCTCCTCCTATTGTAATTCTATTTTCGTGTTTAATAGAAGAGTTTTCCGACCCCAACAAAAGGCATATCAGATCACACGATTACAACCATTTCCTCACTTTTGTGAGCTTCATATTCAGTTTGTGCTCATTCTTAATAACATTTAAAACCATTTACAAGATAATGGATTGAAATGATAACAAACTTTCAATTTTGTTCACATTTAGTCATTAAACATTTTTTTATGCTTGATTAACCCCTAAATTATTTGAAATTGTTCACATTTTACCCTTATGACCGGTTATAACCGGTCATAAGGGTAAAATGTGAACAATTTCAAATAATTCAAGGGTAAATCAAGCACGAAAACAATTCCAGTGAACAAAGTTGAAAGTTCGTTACCCTCTCAAGTCATTATCCTTACAATTAAAAGCTTAGGATATCAAGGCCAAAACAATTGGTTTTAGAAATAAAGGAAATATTAATAAAAATGTTAGAAAAAAAAAGACATTTATAGGATTCCCAAAACATGAAGTTATTAGTTCGTTTTGACTTGAAATAAATTCAATTACTTAGGTATGTTTGCACATCTATTTGATACTACAATATCTCAATATTCGTTGTGATTTACATAAGATATTTTTTTATTAATGAAAAACAAACAAAAAGTGAACTACTTCACCAAGAGCATCTCATATGTTGTTTTTTGAAAGGTCGTTGTTAAGATTCTGATCTTGATCTTAAGATCATACAAAAAAATGATCACAGTCATATTAGGGTCTATCAAATGCAAAGATTTATACTACGATCTTATTCACCAAGAGCATCTCATATGTTGTTTTTTGAAAGGTCGTTGTTAAGATTCTGATCTTGATCTTAAGATCATACAAAAAAAATGATCACAGTCATATTAGGGTCTATCAGATGCAAAGATTTATACTACGATCTTATGATCCTAACTAGGGTCTTCAAATCTTAACACTCTCAACCTCTGTAGTCTTTATCATATAGTCATGATTCAAAAATTCGTCTTGAAGACGATTATTGCAAGTCGCAAGAAGTCTTATAGAACATCCACTACAAGAAAATTTCAATTAAACTACGAAAAATTCCATAACAAAAAGAAGAAATTTCGTAGCTAAAGTTGAATAACTACGGAATTTGTTACGCAATTGTCATTTCTAATTAGGAAATATCTTGACACTCATGTTATTCTCGTTGTGATCTTATCTCTTTAATTGTATACGGTCACGATAATCTTTTTTCTTTTCTTTTTTACTTAAGATGTGTTCTTCGTAGCTTTTACTGTTTAGAGCATCAAGAACTATGATTCATGCATGAAAAAGTTAAAGTTAACTCTACCAATTATGTTTTAATCAACATCAAGTTTAAATAGCTACTACACAAACAAGACCTTGAAAACAAATTTGAAGACCGTAACATTTTGATATGATCTTTCGATCCTGATCCGACCTTATGACCATGATTTTTCACAACACAAAAGGATCTTATATACGATCTGGATATTTACAACCTTGTTCTGAAGGGGTCCATGATTTTTAAAGCCATAGTGGGTGATGATGTGGCATGGATAACAACAATTTAATTCACTTTCATTTTGTTTAAGTTGGAGTTCATCCTTACCAACCGAAATGCGGTGTCATATTTTTTTCTCTCCTTTTAATTCTATTTTCTTAACCTACAGCATATCAAAATTCATCCCTTCCCACTGATATCTTTTGATGTAGTTTTTATGATGCATATAATTCAAAATGGAGAGAAGAAGAAAAAAGTCGAACAGCGGGCTGAGTAAGCCACTCGGCCACTCCACTCTATTCTTAAATCTTGATCTTAATCAATAACTCCACTATCAAACTTGTAATTTCATCGCACCTTCCACTCATCAACAACTCTACCCATTTTCAAAAAGTTGTGGGCCCACAGTGGCGTATGATTCATGCCAGTACAAAAAACAAAAATTTTAAAAATTAAAAAGAATAAAATCTATATTCCACTAAAGTACAAGAATGAAATTTCCTTTGAGGTTACTACGTGTTCAAATGAAAAACGCAATTTTGTTAGCACCTAAACAAATATTTTAGTTTTGAAAATCGGTGAAAATGAAGCATCAAATTGATAATCGAATAAGCAATTGAGATGTTTGAAGTATTTGACGAGCTTATGTCCAGTTCGATTTCAATGATCAGTAGATATCGATAATTCTCATCCTAAACAATCAGTTCTGGATAGAAATTTCATGAGTTTGTTAAAATTTAAACAACAAAATAAATGAAGAACCGAATTAATAACAATAAACTACTGAAGAACTTGATGAGATTCAGTAAATAATAATTCCTCTGTTTCTTAAGCTTCTAAAGTTCGTAAAAATTTAACATAAAAAAGCAAATCAAGTTCCTTTTTTTGGCTCCCGAATAATGATTTTATTATTGTCTTCGTCGGTCAAAACATTAAATTTTAACAAAAAACCTATATTACGACAATCGTAATAACTTTAATTCCGTTAAAAACTGTATAAAAGTGAAAAAAATTCAGATCGGAAACATACCTCTTTCACCGTGAAAACGAAGAGGAGCGGATGGAATTTTCGTTTCGTTCTTAGTTAGTGGGGTTCTGGATTATGTAGAACGGTAAAGTCAGTTCTACATACATCATTTTTGCTTGTAGAAATTAAAGAAAGTTTGACTAAGCTGATCATGCTTGAATACATAGGGTCGCCAACCCAGTTGAAATTCAATGAAAAGTCTTTCAAACAACCACTATGGAATGTTCTCTAAAATTAGTCGGAAGCAGTCAAGACTCGAGAGATAGTTGGTAGCTTGTTATCTTTAGTTTTTATTTGTGTATTAATGCTATATAAAAATAGTTGGAATTTTTTAAAATATCATATAAAATTACATAAAATGATATATTTTTAAAATATAAAATAGATACATAATTTTTTTGAAAAGTAAATAAGTCAGATTTGAAAAAATATAAAAGATCTTTTTGTTAAACACAACTGAAACAGCTTTTGAAGTTGAGTTTATTGCTTAACCTAAAGCAAGAATCTCCTACTGTCAAACAAAGTTTTTCATTTATTATCGAGCTTTTTCTTAAAAGCTAAAATATATAAGCTTTCAAAAGTTGTGTGTCGAACACCTTCTTAGACTATGTTTATTGGTATTCTCCCGATTGTTTGCTAGGCATTCCAGATGAAAAAAAAAGACATAAACTACTTTTTGCACTCTCCTTCGGCAACATATTGTTTGTCACGTTATAGGATATGAGTTGTGCCATGTTTAGACCATGTTTGGCAAAAATAAACTAGTTTATTGTAATTTAGTATTTAATATGATCATAATATTAGTTTATCTGAACTTATAAGAATGTGTGGGGATGTAACGTCTAAATTTTCAGAATAAAATTTTCATTTTTAAACTGACATAAACATTCATTTTCATAAAGGTGCATTCAAAACAAAACCATTTGTTCTTAAAATTGAAATCCATAAAGCAGAGTGAATCATAAAACAGATGATGTGTGTGTACAGTCACGCATTCGCATCCTCACAAACTGTTCAAGTACCTGAAAAACATTTTTATCCATAAGTGTAAGCACGAAGCTTAGTGAGTTTCCCAAAGTATCACATACATCACAACATATACAAATAGAGTTTAATGTTATATTGTGACAACCCGAAATTTCTATTCTGTACAACCATTCACTTCAATAGAAGTCAGAACTGTTTCTGCTAACTTTTAAGCTTTTTGGAGTCAGTTTGAGTGTTCTAAAGCCTAGTACTGCAAGAGATAACTGGAGAGAGGATACTCTAGGGTTTATTGTGCATCAATAAAGTTCCAAAACTCCAAGAGTTTGGAGTTTACGGCCCAAACATGGTGTTTACGGCCGTAAACTCTAAGGAGTATAAATATGACACTTAGTCATTTTATACACTTTTTTTACCATTTCAAGCCTAGAAACTCATTTCTCTCTCAAGTAGCATCCGATTTTCCTTCTTGATCTTCAACTTTGTAAGTGTTTCTTGCCTTGTTTAGTTGATCTCTTCCATTATCTAGTGATCTTACATGATTCCATCCATGAAATCATTCCATTTTCTTAGATCTTCAAGTGTTCTTCATTTCACCAAGAACACCAAGAACACACACTAGTGTTCTTGGACTTTTAACACCCTTACAAGCTTCTATATTGTAAGTACTCTTACCTTAGCTTGTTATAGGCTTAATACACTTATTATTCAACTAGAAAACACAAAGAAACACAAGATCAAAGGTGTTTACGGTCAAGACATGTTCTTGAACCGTAAACCCTAATGAAAGGGCCATTGTGAGCCCTAGTCCCTTCCTTAGCCTTGGACACTAGTCTAGATCACTTCCTTGTGGAGTATAGGACCTTAAACAAACAAAACAACCAAGCACACATGAGTTTACGGCCGTAAACTCATGAGGAATGGTCCATGGGTCGTAAACTCTAAAAGGTAGTGCAATGGTGCCACAATTACTTCCTAAGGCTTAGACTTGAAGTAAGGATACTTCTTTATGACTTATAAGACCTCAAAACACAAAATGGTAGAAGTTACCATGGGTTTACGGCCGTAAACCCATTGGGACCGTAAACCCAAAACCGTAAACTCATGAAGAGTTTACCCTTGGACCATAAACTCAAAAGCAAAGCCCTACAACCCTTAGATGCAATCCTTGGTACTACTAGCACTTGAATCAAAGTGTTATCCATGTTTTAGGGTGTCTTTAGTTGATTAATTAGTTGTTAAATGACTAATTGGATACATATATGTGTTATTATATGTTAATTAGGATCCGTGTGTGTGTTCAAGTCTTCACTTGACACTTAGCATCCTATACCATCCGTTCATCCAAACCACTCACTACAGGTGAGTTCATACCCCTTAATTAACCTTTTGAATGATTTTAAATGTTTTTATGAGGGGAATACAAGTTGAACTATTATAGTTATTATATCAATCACATGTGATTAATAACTACCAAACAAGTGGATTTCTTACTTTTCAAACTGTGTTATCAAACAAACTACTTCAATCTGTTTTACAAACTCTTTTACATGTCAAATACTTTTATTAAACTCTTTTAAACTTATATTCTGTTAAATGTGTATCTATATAGATATAGTTATATAAGTAGGATTGTGTAACAACCGTCAAAATTCGAGTCGGTTCTAGATTTGAATAAACTTAGTTGCACATATAGGCACGACACATAATAGACTTAGTAACTAGAAGCTAAGTTATAACCTACTAGAAACTTGGAAACAAGTAGGATCGAATGATAGTGTACTTAGATTTCACATTGATATGTGAATTCTACTACTACTTAACTGTAGTGACTATCCATATTTGGGTCACTCTTTGACTCGAACACCATTTCATAAATCATATACACACATCATGCACTTACCCCAGTAGCTCAAAACCCAAACCCAAATCCTAACCCTCGTCCAGCATTTCAAGGCCCCACACCTCTGTGGGCAACAAACTTGAACAGATGGAGTCACGAGCAAAGTCAGCTGTTACCTTACAACGGAGACCGAAGCTTCTATGACTTAAGCGAGGGAGGTTCAGCTGATCGAGTCCTGCCCATCCTGGTTCGTAGGATTGCTCGGAACACCGAGCAAGGTCGAGTATCTATTGACCGAGTCCTGGAGATTGACGCCAACTCTGGCGTTAACACGGTCCGCATTTGCCAACTCGAGGTAGCTATGGAAAGGACTAGGATAACCAATGGGACTCTGCAGCAACAGCTAGCTGCATCCCAAGCTGAAGTTAGGGAACTTCGGGCTAGGCAGTCAATGTATGAAAGGCGCATGCGAGACATAGAGCGCCGTCTGTCTGAATCAAGGACTCATTCGAGTGGTTCTCGTCGTAGATAGAGCCTACTCAACCTTCTCTTTTGGATATAACTTAGTTATGTAAAACTCTAGTCTAATTTCCTATCTTTGTTAAAACTTGGACCTGTTAGGTCTTGATTAGGTCGTAGTTCTGTCAAAATTTTCCCATCTTGGTTGATGTAAGACCTACTTCTAGGTCATTTTTCCCGAACTTATTACATCTGTAATACCAGTGTTATTGACAGATATCTAATCTCATGGAAATTATTATCCAAATGCTTTCATCTGTTAGTACTAGATCTACATTCAATCATACTATTCAATTGTGTTGTTGGGCTATGGAGAGTTAGTCCATGAGTCATTCTTATCAAATTCTCCCTATTAAATTCTTATCAATATCTTCATCTTTGTAAACTTATAGTTAAAAGATGCCTCCGCGCCGATCAATGAGACGCGATCCTCCGATAACTGCAACACCACCTGCTCCCCAAATCGATATGGCAGCTCTAAATGCTGCAGTAGCTGCGGCTGTGGCAACAACCATGGATCAATATCATTCCACCAACGCCAGTGGTGTGGAAACGCCTGTTTGTTCAACCCATGGTGAAGCTCCTGTGCGCTTGAGAGAATCCTCCTATAAGGACTTCACCAACTGTAAGCCACTGTCCTTTAAAGGGACTGGCGGAGTCATTGCCTCTCGCAATTTCGAAAAACAGTCGATCTCTTCGAGATCTGCTCATGCCCGGAAGGAAGCAAAGTCAAATTTGCTGCGTGCACCATCGAGGCAAAAGCCCTGACATGGTGGAATAGCTATGTCAAGTCACTATCTCTCATAGTGGCTAATGCTATGGGCTGGGAAGCTCTGAGAGAGCTAATGAATGAAGAGTACTACCCGAGAGGCGAGATCCAAAAACTGGAGCAGGAACTGTGGAGCCTAACCATGAAAGGCTCCGACATTGTGACCTATACCGCCAGATTCTGCGAGCTGGTGGCCCTCTGTCCCAACATGGTTCACACAGAGGGAAAGAAGATAGAGAGGTACATATGGGGGCTGGTGCCTCCATTTCAAGGAAATGTTTTGGCTTCAAACCCACTACATTCGATAGTGCCAAGCGGTTGGCACAGCGGCTCATTGACCATGGGGTTCGTACCCCGGCCGCAACAACCCTGGCCATATCAGAACCCGCTAAAACCGCTGATTCCAAGCGGAAGTTCGGGGATGACAAAAAGAAGAAGAAGGCTGCCAAAAAGCAGCAGGTCGTGGCAGTTCATGCTGCGATAGCACCTGCCGCTGCTGCTCTGGTAAAGCAGTACGCTGGAAGTTTGCCCAAGTGCAACAAATGCAACTTCCACCACATCGGAGCCTGCCGAGAAATGCAGTGCTCTAACTGCAGCAGGAAGGGGCACACTACCCGTTTCTGCAAGGCTCCAGCAAAACCAATCACCCAAGTCCCCGGCACTGGTGTGGGCCAAGCTTGCTACGATTGTGGCGAGGTGGGCCACTACAAAAGGAATTGCCCGAAGGCAGGGAACGCCGGTGGAGTGGGAAGAGTTCTGGCCATAGGCCGGAGGAGGCGGTTTCCGACCCACAGTGGTCACTGGTACGTTTCTCCTCGATAACTCTTATGCATGCATACTGTTTGATAGTGGAGCGGAGAGGAGTTTCGTGAACCAAAAATTTGCTCATTTACTTAAGCAAAAATCACCAGCACTTAAAGAACCGTTCACTATAGAAATGGCTAATGGGAAGACAGAGAGCACTAGCAGTATATTCATAGGATGTACTCTAACTTTAGATAGCCATTAATTTTCGATCGACCTCATGCCGGTCTCAATTAAAAGTTTCGACGTCATTATCGGCATGGATTGGTTGAGTTTACATCGTGCCGACATCATGTGTTATGAAAAGGTTGTTCGCCTTAATCTACCGTCTGGTGAAACTCTAGTAATCT